ATCACACAGTCATTGGGAAAAACAAGGCTGATCTAAGGGTACTGCAGGGAACTGCTTCCAAAATGCATTTTAGATGAAAAAAGCAAGGTGCAAAACAGTATTTTTGTGTTTACTATATACTGTCTGCCCTCCCTCTTTTCTTTCCTTCCATTCCTTTCAAAGGAATACCTTTATATATGTGCTTGCATCTGCGTACACTGTTTCTGTAGGACGAGAAAGAAACCATTAAGCCTGTTTGCCTCCAAGGAAATGAATAAAACGGGGTGGGGGTGCGGGCACAGTGAGGGACGTCAGAGGTAGGAGAATTTTATCTTTCAGCTCACCCCTTTAGTGCTGCATGAATTTAAATTTTTATCTTTTTGAGTAGGTCAGTCATGCACATGGGAAAAAAATTCAAATCATACAAAAGGGTATTTGGTAGAAAATAAATCTCCCCTCCTCTGAGCAGCCACCCCCACCTGCTGCCCTGAGTAGCAGGGGCAACTAATGAGATAAATTATTTGTACATCTTTGCAGATATAAACTATGCATTTGTGTAAATACATGTTTATATGTAATTATGTACATTTTTGTTATGGCAAAATATACATAACATAAAATTTACTACTTCAACCATTTCTAAGTGTGCAGTTCAGTTGCATTAAGGACACTGACGTTGTGCAACCCTCAACACCATCTCCAGAACTTTTTCATCTTCCCAAACTGCAACCGTCCCCATTAAGCACTAACCCCCATTCTCTCCTCTCCCTAGCCCCCAGCAACCATCATTCTTCTCTGTTTCTCTGAATCTGACTGCTCAGATGCTTATAAATGGAATCATACAACATTTGTCTTTTTGTAACTGGTTTATTTCACTTCACATAATGTCCTTAGGGTTCATCCATGTTGTGGCAGGTGTCAGAATTTCCTTCTTTTTTAAGGTCGAATAATATGCCATTGTATGGATATACCACCTTTGTTTACCCATTAATTTGTTGATGGATATTTGGGTTGTTTCCATCTTTATATATTTTTTAATAACAAAAGTTAATTTAAACAAAAGGAGAAGAAAGTCTGGGGGAAGGAGGATTTGATCTGGGAGCTTCTGTGCATTGCTGTGAGGATGGAGGATGGGGCAGCGGCAGCTGCTGGAGAGAAAACATCCCCTTCATCATTAGCAACTGCCGGTGATTCCCCACCTTCAGCCCTCACAGGAACTCCCCTTTCCTTTCTTTGAAAGCTGGCTCCCTGAGCCCTGCCTGGGATCTCAGGGCTCCTTGAACACTGTACCTGCCCTTCCCAGCTCCAGGGAGGCCAAAGGCCCTGGGGGAGCAGAGGCCAGCTGCCTGCAGCTGTGGCTCTCCTTCCTTCCAAGGCCCAGGCAAATGTGGTGATGGGGTGACAGAGGCTGAGCCAGCAGGAAGAGCTGGGGGCCCTGCCAAGGCGCTAGGGATCCAGGTGCTCTCCAGGGGGGAGCCCCAGAGCCCACCCCATGGAGGGGCCCCAGGTAAGGAAACCCCGAGTTCAGATAAAGAGCCACCAGCCCAGTTCTCTCTCTTATTTGCAATCCTTCAATGATAGCTCATTTTTCACAGGATGACTTTTACATTTAAAAAATATTTCTTTTCTCCCCATGTGTTTATTATGAAGCATTTGAAATGTTCAGGGAAGTTGTTAGTGTAGTTCAGCACAGACCACCACCCCACCACCTGGCTGCAGCATCCTTAACATTTTTGCCATATTTGCTTTGTCTCTCCCTTCCCCCCTTTGGGATATTTATATACACACACACGTACCCATCTACATCAACAAACATATATAGGCTTATACATATACATCACTGGTTTGTACTGTGCCATATACTTAGATGTGGAATTTTTCAATAAATATGCTGAAAAATTTTTGGAGATTTGCAATAATTTGGAAAACATTTTCTTCCTCTAGCTTATTTTCTTGTAAGAATACAATATACAACAAACAAAATCTGTGTTAATTAACTGTTTATGTTACCGGTAAGGCTTCCAGTCAGTGATAAATTAGTAGTGGTTAAGTTTTTTGGGGTCAAAGTTATACACAGATTTTTAGCTGCATGGGGTCTGTCTTGTCAATGGGTTTTAGCCCCTGGCAAGTTTGCTATGGATACGGTGTGACCAAAGAAATGACAGTAGAACGTTTCCTTGGGGTGAAAGGGTTTATTACCCGGCTTGTTCTCCTGGCTGTGGGTCAAGCACTAGCGTCTTCTGCCTCCGCCCAGAGCACCGAGCCGAGCTCTCTATATAGCACAATAATAGCTTATGGCCTATGGGTGTGGAAGCGGTAGCCTAGCAACAGGCCAGTTACATTATCAAGTGGTTTAAGTTCAGTGAGGATCCTGGCTATAGGAACCCCAACTTCCCCACAGGGGTATGTGCCACTAACCCCTATGTTGTTCAAGGCTCAACTGTACACATATATACATGAGTATACAAGTGCATATACATATATACATATACACACATATATACAAATATATACATATACATGCAGATAATATATATATGCAATACATATACATGCACATGAATACATACACATATACATGTATTTCCTCTAAACATGAACTCTTTGAAAGTTAGGACATCATGACCTTCACCCCTAATTACTTCAGTGTACATCTCTTCAGAAGGACATTCTCTTACATACTCTTAAAGTCTTTATTATACCTGAGAAATCAACAATAAAGCCCTACTATCATTTACAATTTACATTTTCCCATTTGTCCCCAAAAGAGCCATAAAAATGGCTGTTTTTCAAAACGAAGATTCAATCAAAGCCCACATATTGCACGTATTTGGCTATTATGTCCCTTAAATCTCTCTTAATCTTAAATGTACCTATCCACTTTTTTAAAAACACCATTGACATTTTGTTGGTCCTGGGACAGTTGTCTTGTAGAAGTTCTAGAAGGTCCTACCTTCTGGGGTTCTCTGATTGTTTCATTGTGGGGTCACTCGTCTTCCCTTAGCCCTTATATTTCCTATAACCTGGAAGTTAGGACTAGAGTCGTGATTAGATTCTGGGTAAGACCTTTTCTTTTCTTTTTTAAAAAAGGACTTAATTTTTTTAGAGCAGCATTAGGTTCACAGCAAAATTGAGAGGCAGGTATAGAGATACCCCAAATAGCCTCTGTCCCCACACACGCATGTTTCAGCCTCCTTAGTCCCTTCTGGATTTCAGCAGGAATGCTGCCCCCTCCTCGAGGCCTTGCTGATGACCCAGGCTTCCCTATAATGACCATCTTCCTCAGTTTCACTTTCTTCATGGCACTCACCACCGCTTGACATTACCTTGTTTGGAATTTGCTTATGATCTATCGACAAAGTAAAATGTGCGAGCGCAGGCACCTGTTTCACTGCTGTGTCCCCAGATCCTGGCAATGTGCCTGGCACATGGCAGGTGCCTGTATGAATTTCCTCTCCCTGCTGTAACAAACAACCACAAACTGCACGGCTTAAAACACCACCAACTTATTCCCTTACCAGGAGGGCAGAAATGCTAAAGCAGTGTCAGTGGACTGAAATCGAGGTGTCGGCAGGGCTGTCTTCCTTCTGGCAACACCAGGGGAGGATCTGTTTCTTGCCTTTTCCAGCTTCTAGAGTCTGCCTGTGTTCCTGGGCTCAGAGTCCCGCATCACCTGGACTTCTGTTTCTATCGTCCCATCTCTGAGTCTCATCTGCTGCTTCCCCCTTTTAATGACCCCAAGATTATACTGCACCCAACTAGACAATCCAGGCTATCTCCCTATTTTAAGATCCTTAAACACATCTGCCAAGCCCTTTTTACCAGGTAAGGTCACGTATTCACAGGTTTCGGGAATTAGGACATGGACTTTGGGGTAGTTGTCATCCCACCTACCAAGAGGCACAATAAATATTTGTTGGATGAATGAATAAATGAATGGATGGGCCCCTTTACAAATGAAGAGTTGAGTCCCGAATTCTAGGGCTGGCTCAGCCACTTGTTGGCTGTGTGACCTTGGGTGAGCTCCCTCTTTCTCTGGGCCTCAGTTTCTTCCTTCATTAGATGTGTTTTGAGCACCCACCAAACACCCCACTCTTGGTAGACCTGGGGACTGTCAGCACAAATAAAAGATGATCCCTGCCTTCCAAGAGCTTGGAGTCAGGCAGTGGGGAAGGCTGAAGACAGAGAAAAACTGACAGTCTTCTGAGGTCTGCATTCTAGGTCACCCCAGAGAACTTTGGAGTCCTGAGGGGAGGTGTTTACCTAGAGGTGACATTTCAGATGGCTCTTGATGCATGAGTAGGAGTTTACGTGGTAGAGAAGTGGAGAGGGCATTTGTGGCCAAGGGTAGGCTGCAGACCTCTTTGAGGAACTGTGAGGAGTGTGGTGTGATTCTTCAAGGGTGGGGGTGGAGGGACGCTGCCTGGCAAGGAGGCCTTGAAGGCCCTAATCAGGAACTTGGGCTCTGTCCTCAGGTCAAGGGGCCACTCTGGGGTTTTGAAGCAGGAGAGAGGAGTGTGAAGCTGTGGATCTGGGCCGCTCATGTGCCTGCTGCAGTGTGGAGAGGGGATTAGGCGACCAGCGTCTGAGCCTAAGGTGGAGGTGGCCTGGACTGGGCAAGGACAGTGGGGATGGAGAGAAGGGGACTCAGTGGGACATGCCCATAGATTGAGGAGGGGTGGGTGGGGAAGAGCTTGGCAACAGCTGGGCAGGAAGAACAGCAAGATGGAAATGTGAAGAAGGTCCCTGCCGCTGTTCCGTGGGCCATGAGCCGGTCCAGGTTGGGGCTTTGTGGGAAGCCCTGGACAATGCTGGTGAGGGGGCAGAGGAACCACCCAGGGGACTGGTAGGCTTCTCCCTTTGAAATGAGGTCGGTGATGAAGATCATCAAGGGAACAAGATGGGGCTCAGTGCCAGGGGAGGATTTAGGGTTTATGGCCTTTTAGCTCCTGCCCACATTCTCACTTGATTTACAACAACCACCCAGGTGACAAGATAAGGCTGTGAAACCATCTCCCCCATTTCCAGGTGGGAAAACTGCATCCCAGAGGCATCCAGTGACATGGCCAAGGCCACACGGTGAGCAGACCCTGGAGAGCACAGGCCTTCAAGAGGCCCAGCTCAAGGGGATTTTGCAAGTCTCTTGAGACCTAGAGGGGAGGCCAGAGTGGGGGTCCCCTCTGAATGGTTCCCAGCCACAGAGAATTTCCTCCTATTTGGAGGAAGCGGGAGTTCTTCTTTCATAATGTGAATGTCAGAGATTCTGGGCTCACCGGTGACTAAGAATGTCTGAGGCCTGTGGGTGTAGCAAGCGCTTAAATACCAGACCTGGCTGTCTTCTGGCAGTTGTAGACACCTGGGCTGGGACGCAGGACAGAAACATGGCCAGCCTGAAGATGCCGCTCCTGGCTGCCCTTGTCCTCCTTGCTGTGGCTCTTCAAGCAATCAAGGCAGGTGAGGCTGGGGGAAAGGAGGGCTCCCTGCAGGAAGGAGGGCTCCTGGCAGAGGCTGGGGTCAGACACCGCGGTATCTTCTTCATGTGATGGAAAGAACACTGGATTGAAAGCAACAGACCCTAGTCTGCTGCTGGCTCTGGGCTAGTCACATTGCTTCTCGAGCCTCAGTTTACAAATCTATTAAATGAGTAGGCTTGAAGACTTGGATCTGTCTCGGCCTGGTTGGGGGTTGGGGTGGGCATGGCCTGGGATTGTCTCCTCCAGAGAACTCAAGCGCAGGGTGTGGAGAAGGAGCAACTGCGGGGGTCTGGGTGGGGTGGGAAAAGGCAGGAGCTGGGCTCAGCGGTAGCTCCTTGGGAAGCTGGTCCTGCCCTCCCACCACCTCATCTTTGGTCCAGAACCTGCCCTGAACACTGGGTGCCTGCCCTCTCTTCTGTATCTGATGGAAGCTCCCCTGCCCTGTGCTGGGTAGGGGGATGGACTGGATCGGGAGTCAGGCAGCTAGGAATAATAACAGCTCAGTTATTGGGTTTTCTGAGAGCTCCCCCTGCCTCAAAGGTTCCATAGATTTGATACTATTCTTATCCCCTTGGTAAGAGGAAGATTCTGGGCCTCAGAAATGTGAAATGACTCGCCCAGTGTAGCCTGGTAACTCTGGGCAGAGTGGGAGGCCTCCTTGGGCCTGTGTGACGGGACTCTGCCTGAGTCCTCACCCCTCTCCAGAGTCGTCCGGGCAAGCCTTCCCCCTTCCCTGGACCTCAGCTTCACCACTGGAAGCACGAAGGGGGTTCGAGTAGATAATGAGCTTCTCCAATTACATGGAGTTGTCATCAAAATGCTCACCTGATTCAGCAGGACTGGAGCTGGGCACCGAGCCTCAGACAAGCCCCTCTGGGATGCTGACGGTGCTGGGCACTGACCTCACCTTGAATAGCAAGGGGGTAAGGCTCCTTCCTGTGTAGAGTCTCTGGGTCTCATCTAGGAACTCAGAGCATCATTCATGCTCAGTTGTCTGAATTCCTCTCCCTTGAGCTGACCAACCCAGACTGGGGACGTTGGGCCCTCAGTGGCTTCTCAGAAGTCCTGAAAGTGGGGACTCTGAGAGCCTGGAATCCTCTGGACACCTACCTTCCACATGAGAACAGAAACACTGGGTCACAGGTTAGGGCCAATAGTGACCTCTCTGTGCCCCAGCCTGGACTCCTCTGAGCAGCCCCCTTCCCCAGGCCCCTATGGCGCCAACGTGGAGGACAGCGTCTGCTGCCGAGACTACATCCGGCACCCCCTGCCCCTGAGAGTGGTGAAATATTTCTACTGGACTTCAGACTCCTGCCGGAGGCCTGGCGTGGTGTGAGTAGGGAGCTGGGGAGGCAAGGCCAGGGAAGGCCCGATGGGCATGGCCCAAGAGGGCACAGGTACAGGAGGGTGGGGTGGACCCAGGGGTGGGAGGAATGCAGCTGGGCCTCGGGATGTCAGCGAGCATTTGGCTGGAATAAGACGACTCAGCCCAAGCTTGGGTGTACCAAGAAAAAAATCCTGTGATCGTTCAACAAATATTAGCTGGCGTCTAGTGTGTGCCAGGTGGCATACCAGGGTATGAGTGTGCAGAACTGGAGGAATAGTGTGCCGCCTGTTCAGCATACACAGTCTACTGTGTCCAGGCAGGATAGAGCTGTAGCGTGCAGGGTGCAGGCTAGAGGCAGAATGCCCAGTGCCGCTGGGTCAGCAAGGATGCTCCCATCAGCAGCCTGGGACAGCCTCCCCCCAGTGCCCTGGGAGTTACTGGAGGCCGCCCATCCTCACCAGAGGAATACCAAGAGCTCACGCTTCCAGGGGGCTTCCTACGGACCAGGCACTGTTCTGAGCATTGCTGTGCAATCCTGCGAGAAGGGGCGATTTTCTCCATTCTGTAGGTGGGGTAACAGGCCCAGAGAGGGGAGGTGACCCGCTCAAGGTTGCCCAGTCTGAAACCAGCACTCCTGGGACCTCGTTCAAGGCTTCTCCTGAGGTTCCTGTTAACCTCTGCTTCTTCCTCTCAGCTTCTTTGCTTCCTTTTCTCTGGCCCAGAGCCTGTGCGGGTGCCTGCCCCGACTGGGTGACTGGGCCTGTCCTTTCTGGGGCAGCCCCTCCGGCTGCCACTCGGGCACCTCAGAGCCTGCTGCCTGCCTTACCGCACACTGGGGTGGAGTCTGGGCTTGGGGTCTCAGCACCCCCTTAGGGGCTCTGTCTTCATCTGTCATCTTCCTCCTCCTCACTCCTCTTCCATCCCTCGGCAGGATCTGTGCATAAGTAACCAAGGAGGTTGAAGCGGGCTGCCCTTCCAAGGTTCTTGTCACGTCAACTTTGAGCCTCTGTTTCTCTATCAGTATAATGGGAGTGATCGCCTTCATGTATTTCCATTCATTAAACATGCAAGGAGTACTTACTAAATGCTAGGCACTGCTATAAACACTTTATAAACATTAATTCATTAATCTTTGAAACAGCCCCATGTGGTAGGCACTATTCCCATTCCCTTCTTACAGGTAAGGAAACAGGCACAGAGGTTATGGGTCTATCACAGGGCACAGCAATAGGTAAGTGGGAGGTATAATGCTCAATGCCTGGCGTCTAATAGATGCTCAGTGAAAGAGTGCACACATGTGTGATTGTTGGATTTTGATCAGGAAGGGGCCTAGAAAGAACATGGGTTGACACATGTGGTGATTGAAGCTCAGAGAGGGGCTGAGCCTTGCCCAGTGTCACACAGCAGCCAGGCCAGGTTGCCACGTGACCAAGATCATCATTTCTGCCTTCTTTGATCTTTTTGTTCATTGTTTGTCTGTGGAGCAGGGGAAGATCAGGGAAGCAAGGAGAGCCAGGAGCTCCCAGGCCCCACGGACAAGCTGTGGAGAGGCAGGAAGGGAGTCCAGGGCTTGGGGATGTCCCTGACCACACCCAGCTTTGAGCCCACTCCTGCCAACAGCGGCTGAGGCAGAGTGCCCCAGGGCCAGAGTTTGGGGGAGGGTGGGAGCCCACACTGGCTGTGTGGCCTTGGGCCAGGGCTCCCCTCTCCCTCTGTGCTTCAGACCTCTCAAGGGACTTGGTAGGGATGTGCTCCCAAGGAATCACCCCCTGAGGGACCAGCTCACAGCAGGCATGGTGAGTCGCACCACAGCTCTGGTCCTTGAGGAGGTTACTTTTTTGGGCCTCACTTTTCTCAGCTTTGAAATGGATAGAATAACAGGGTCTTACAGATTTTTGCAAGGGCTTATTAAGAAAATCAGAGTTAAAAAGTTCAGGCCAGCTCCTGGCAAGATTATACTATTTGCTGAATCCTGTTCTGAGCATGGCAGTTTATGTTCACTTACCAAATCTTCATCAAAATCCTATGAGTCTGGATCACAATTATCCTTATTTTACAGGTGTGGAAACTGAAGCTCAGAGAAGTTCAGGGACTTGCTAACAAGTGGCAGAGCTAGAATTTTAACACAGATAAGCTGGTTCCAAAGTTCATGCTCTGGGCCACTAGTCAATACTCTTTCTCCCAGGCAACATCAGCAATGATGGTGAGACTCAAGCATTCGATGCCCTGGCCTGACCTAGCACCCAAGGCTGGGGCTGAGAAGTTCTTACATCTCATCCCCTCTCCCCCTTAAGAAATGTGTTTGCATTCAGCAGGTGGCTCATAAATTTGGAAACACTGTACAGAGCAGGTGCACCTGCATAGGGCAGGTGCCCCATAAACGCTAAGCCACTCTATATAGCAGGCATCTCTGCATACAGTAGGTAACTTGTAAATGCTGAGCTAACAGGGTGAGGATGTGGCCTCCTTGCTGCATGCTAATGCTGCCTCATTGACTCCCTGGTGTCTCCTCCTTCCAGCTTGCTAACCGTCAGGGACCGGGAGATCTGTGCTGACCCCAGACTGCCCTGGGTGAAGAAGATTCTCCAGAAGCTGGACCAATGAGGAAGGGTCCTGCCCTAAGGAGTGTGGCCTCAGCTCCTCCAGGAAGGCTCGTGGGGCCCGACCTCCCTGCCATTACAGCTGCTCCCCAGCACAAGCCTGTGCCAACGACTCACTCTGCCGTCCCTGACCTCCGACCCTGTAGCTATCACCCTCGGTCAAGCCCCAGACTATCGTTCTCATCTTCCCTTTTGCCCCTCCAACCAATTCTCTGGGCCACTAGTCAATACTCTTTCTCCCAGGCAACATCAGCAATGATGGTGAGACTCAAGCATTCGATGCCCTGGCCTGACCTAGCACCCAAGGCTGGGGCTGAGAAGTTCTTACATCTCATCCCCTCTCCCCCTTAAGAAATGTGTTTGCATTCAGCAGGTGGCTCATAAATTTGGAAACACTGTACAGAGCAGGTGCACCTGCATAGGGCAGGTGCCCCATAAACGCTAAGCCACTCTATATAGCAGGCATCTCTGCATACAGTAGGTAACTTGTAAATGCTGAGCTAACAGGGTGAGGATGTGGCCTCCTTGCTGCATGCTAATGCTGCCTCATTGACTCCCTGGTGTCTCCTCCTTCCAGCTTGCTAACCGTCAGGGACCGGGAGATCTGTGCTGACCCCAGACTGCCCTGGGTGAAGAAGATTCTCCAGAAGCTGGACCAATGAGGAAGGGTCCTGCCCTAAGGAGTGTGGCCTCAGCTCCTCCAGGAAGGCTCGTGGGGCCCGACCTCCCTGCCATTACAGCTGCTCCCCAGCACAAGCCTGTGCCAACGACTCACTCTGCCGTCCCTGACCTCCGACCCTGTAGCTATCACCCTCGGTCAAGCCCCAGACTATCGTTCTCATCTTCCCTTTTGCCCCTCCAACCAATCTTCTTCCCCACTGTAGCCAGAGGGTCCACAATCCTGGACAGTCACTCCTCTGCTCAAAACCCTTCCATGGCTCCCCACTGTCCCAAGTTGAGCTCCTATGCCTGGCACCCTACCCTCCGCATCTGGGTCCCATCCCCGTCTCCTGCCCCACCTCATTTCCCTTTATACCCATTGAACTCCAGCTCCCTGTTCTCCAAACCCATGCCATCTATTTCCATTTCTGGATCTTTTCCCAGGCTGCTCCTGATACCCACCACCTGCGCCTGTCCAGTCCCACCAGCCCTCCAAGGCAGGGCTCAGCCTAAGCAGCAAGTAACTGAATTTCAGTTTGTTGACATTCCTGGCCCTCTGCCCATCTTAACAGCCTTGATCACAGTCTGCCCAGAATTCTTAGGACTTGAGGACTTGTCCTCCAGCTCAACTGACTGGACCAGGGTCCACACCTGAGTTACCTTTGTCTTCCAGCCTCTAGCTCAGAGCACAGAGCACAGGGCCTGGCTCAGAAGCAGGGCTCAACAAGTGGCTGCAGACTGAATCAATAAAAGTAACATACCTCCCCCACTCCTAAAAGGCCCTCACACATCAAAATAGAGACTCAAGGTCATCTAGAGAAGAGCCAGCTGGGTCAGTTGTGAAATCTCAGATTTTCCCAGACTCACCTTGCATCCCCATTTTACATACAGTTTGGGTCTCTTTATCCTTCTTGCTTCCCTTGGGTTTTTACTGCTCTTCCAACTTCCAACACCAGTCTGATCTCTTTAGAGTTCCCTACTTTTCCTTCCTCCTTCCCCAATAGTTGATAACTAAATTCATACTATGGTGTGAGTAACTACCCTTGGCTTGGTATTACAAGCTCAAGTTATATTTGTGTATGAAAAGAGGGCAAATGCTTAAGAGGCCAAATGGATGAATGGAAGAATTTTAGGAACTGTGTGGGAGGGGATAAGGCAGAAGGTAGAGCTTTCCTGGCCCTGGGAGTGAGTGTGTGGGGTATAGTTAAATGAATGTTTTGGGTAGAGCCTTGGGTAGAGATTAAGGACTGGGATTTGGGACTTATCTGTGCCTCCTTGGGGACAATAGATTCCCCAGGTAAAGGAAATAAGCTTTTTGGGTACGTGTTTCTTTCTGAGGGGGCACAGCACCACTCATGGGAATGGTTGCTGCCGGGTGACCAAGAGGAGACCATCTAATCTCTCTGAGCCTCACCTGCGAATGAGGACACCCACCTGATGGGGCTTGGACCCAAGGCACAGGGAATGGCTTTGCCAGTCATAAACTTCAGTATCTTCCAGGGCCTGTGTGCCCCCTGGAGCCCAGGGATCTGCCCACCATGGGCACTGGAAGTGTTAGCCTGCCTGCTGCCCATGCACAGGGTTGCAGGTGTCCTGGGATGCCTCTCTCCTCTTGTATGCCCTTGCCCCTCAGGCCTTCTGGAAAATAAATCCATCTACAGCAGTGTCTTCTTTGTTTCTTGTCTCTTTGAAGTGAGGCAGGGGGCTACCATGGCCCCTTCTCCCCCCAGTGGGGAAGTCCTTGACATTGACATGTGAGCAGGCTAGCCCAAGGTCACCCATCAAGGAGGTGGGGACCCAGGCCTAGTCACGAGGACCTGGGAAGTAGCTGTGCGGGTGCCAACCAGGAGCCCCAGACTTGTACGCCAGGCCTGGCCCACTCTGGGACCACCTGTCAGGAGAATCTAAAGAAGTCATTAATTCAATCCTCAAGTTCAAAGTTATGAGCAGCATATTTATTCATTTATTCATTCAGTTGTTGATTCAATAACCCAGCCTCAACCTTCCCCCTTCAAGGGTGAACACAGAGGAAGAGGTGTGTTAGTCAGGAAAGGATACTTCCTGCAACAAACAACCCCCAAACCTCAGCAGCTCCCCAGAAGTTTTTTCTTCTCACATGAAGTTTGATCCAGCATTCCTGGGCTGTGGGTGACCTTCCACATGGTCTCACAGGATCCTACCTTCTCATGGCTCCACTCTCGTCCAGGCCCTGGACTCCTGTCCATCATTCAGCAGATGGGGAAAGAGAATGGAAGCCTGTGGGAGAGCTTTATGAGCCAGGCCAGGCAGAGGGGCTCACCACTTCTGTCCACGTGTCATTGGTGGAACTCAGTCACATGGCCATCCTGACCGCAAGGGATGCTGGGAAGTATAGCCAAGACTTGTGTCCAGGAAGAAGAGGGAATGCCTTTGGGGAGTACCTAGTTCATCTGGATCTGGTGATGAACTCCCTTGGACCCTCAAATGGGCCTGCTTTCCTGGAGTTCTGGACGTAGCTCACTCTGCCCAAACAACTCCTCTGCCCTGGGGGCCTCTTCATTATTTCTTCAGTGTGAACACCATTCCATGGGCATCTTGGCACAAGGGGCCTTGGCTACCCTTCAGATCTGGCTCTCACAGTGAGATTTCTGGGGTGGTATCTCCAGACTCCAGAACACGTGTCTGGGAGTCAGAGAGAATCACTGGACAGGACACATGTCACGGATTCAGACAGGTGTAGGCACTCTCATTGGCTGGGTCTCTGGGGCAGGTTACTTGGCTCCTCGGAGCCTCAGTTTCTCCCTCTGTGAACAAGGGGCAACAAAAGCAGGTATCAGTGCCTGTGGCTGTGAGAATCTGATTAGATAAGAAGGTACAGACAGCCTAATAACAAAATGAGCAAAGATTTGAATAGATACTTCTCCAAAGAGGCTATTCAAATGGTCAGTAAGCACATGAAAAGATGCTCAACATCACTAGTCATTAGGGAGATGTAAACCAAAGCCACAATGAGATACCATCTTCACTTCCATTAGAGTGGCTTTTATTAAAAAAAAAAAGAAAAAAAAAGGCAAGGTTGTTAATGGTGTGGAGAAATTGGAACCCTTGTGCATTGGTGGTGGGCATGTAAGATGGTGCAGTCATTCTGGAAAACTGTATGGCAGCTCTTCAAAAATTTAAACATAGAATTATCACACGATCCAGTAATCCCACCTCTGGGTACACACACAAAAGAATTGAAAGCAGGGACGTGGACAGATATTTGTACACTCATGTTCACAGCAGTATTCTCCACAATAGCCAAAAGGTGGAAACAGCCTGTGTCCATTGATGGATGAGCAAATGAGGCAAATGTGGTTTACGTGTACAGTGGAATATTATTCAGTCAGTCTTTAAAGGAAGGAAATTCTGACACCTGCTACAACATGGATGAAACTTGAAGACATTAAAGTAAGTGAAATAAGCCAGTCATAAAAGACAAATACTGTATGAGCCTAGAGTAGTCAAACTCACAGAGACAGAAAGTACAACGGTGGTGGCCTGGGGTTGCCAGAAGGAGGAAATGGGAGCAGTGTTTAACGGGCCCAGAGTTTTACTTTTGCAAGATAAGAAAGTTCTAAAGATGGATTATGGCGAATGCACTTAATGCCACTGAACTGAATAGTTAGAAATGGCTAAAGTGGTAAATTTTATGTTCTGTATATTTTACAATATAAAAGAGGGTGTAGGCAGGTGTGTACTCAGACAGAAAAGGCTAAGGGCATGTGAGCAGCCCTCGTTATTGGCCAGAAAAGGCAAGCTGGGCAGAGATAGATTGGGGCAGGGCAGAGCTAGGCAAGAGCTAGGCCACCTCATTGGCCACTCTGTCCCTCCTACCGTCTGGAAGCCCAGCAGGAGTGCCTGGGGCTTGCTGCCCTACTCCCCACAGCTGTTCCTGTTCTGTTTCTGCGATTGGAGGAACCCCTCAGGTCCCACAGGAAAAGCCAGGCTGCCTCCTCTCTGGGACACCCAGGCAGGGTCCTGAAAAATGTGGGCAAGGATATCCTAGTCCCCACCAACCCACCGACTCCCAGGGAAACCCTCTTTCCTGCTGCCCATCGCTCTTCCACTTTCTAATTGGTGCTCTTGTTATTTCTCAGGGCAGAACCTTCCCAGATCCCCTTTGCTGCTGAACAGCATCTTCATTCCTCCGCATTCCAGCTTCAAAGTGTCTGACTGCAGCCTCCCTGCCCACTCCTTCCTCGGAGCCAGTGGCATCAGTCCATTCGTTCCCCATTCCCTTTCCACCTTGGTTAGGTTTTTCTCTCTGCCTGGAATGGTACCAAAATCCTGGCCATCTGTGTACTGCAGGTTGCTTGTGAATCACAAAGGGGATAACACTTCTCCAGCAAGACATCTAGGGTCTGTCCATCAAGAACAGTGGACAACCTGTCTGTCCTGGTGGATGTGACTGATACGATGTAATTTACACAGTATTACTCATAACAGATTCTTGCCAAGACTACGTAGCCAGGATTTAATCAAGCCTGTAGCTCTAACTTCCAGTTTATAGGAAATACATAGGTTAGGGGAAAAAAATTAGATAACATCACAAGGAAATAATTACTAAGTTAAGAAACAGCAGTATATGAGACAATGTTTTTAAGTTTTCAGAAAGTCGATGCCCTGAAAAATGTGTGCGTGGTCTATTGTAGACTAAAGAGAAATAACCACATGCAATGCATAAATCCAGATTGTGTCCAGCTCAAAAAAAAAAAAAAATTAAAGAAAGAAAGAGAGAAGGGAGGGAGAAAGAAGGGAAAAAAAGAGAGTGGGGTGGGGGCAGAAACTATAAAATACATTGTAGGAACAATTAAAGAAATTTAAGTATTAACTGAATATTACATGACATGGGAATTACTGCTCATTTTGGAGGTGGGATACTAGAATTATCTCTATGCGAGACAATGTCCTTATACTATGGAGGTGCACACTGAAGTATTTAGGGGCAAAGCATGAGGCATCCATAATATCCTTTGACATAGCTTGGAAAAAAAAGAAAGAAGCAGCAGCAAATATGGGCACACTACTCATTGAATCCAGGGGTAGAGATATGAAAGCCCTTTGTGTCATTCCTTCTTTGTTGCTGAAAATTCTTCGAGATGACAACGTAAAAGAAACAATCCTGCCCATTTCTCTTTCTTGTCTCCCAGATTCCTGGACAAGAATAAAGGCCACTCCCATCTCCCAGGCCCCAGCTTTAGAGCCTCTAGTAGAATTTGCATATTCTCTCTCCTACTGAGCTGGGGCTCCTGGGAGCAAGGACTTCAGCTTTTCTGCCTTTAGGTCCCCATCCCACCACAGGGCCAGGCACACACACCAGGGCTTAATAACAAATAGTAATGCTCTTGCGTGCCAGGCACTGTGAAAGCCCTTAGTTTTATGAACTCCCCCCGTGAGTGACTTGGTGAGGTAGCTATTAGTATCCCATTTTACAGATGGGAAAGTGGAGGCTCAGAGACATCAAGTAACTTGCCCAAGGCAATACCTCTTATAAGCAGTGGAGTCCTGTTTGGCTCCAGGTCTCGCTGACCTGATAGCTTAGTTCCTACATCTTAATTAAATCTAAACTCAGTTAGTCCTTAATATCCTGATGACATAGGTTGGGGGGACCATTCCAATATGTGGAGGTAAGGGGAAAGGCTGGGCCAGAAGAGGGGATGTTCCCGAGGGCTGAAGAAGGAAAAGCAGAGATGTACTTTATGTTTGGCACCTGTTCTGTGCCAGGCTCTGGACTGGCACCTTATGCATGTAAACTCACTCAGTCTTCCCTGCAGTCCTTGCAGTGGAGATGAAGGGAGGGGGTGCAGCCTGGTGGTAATGAGCTCAAACTCCAGAGCCCAGGGGTTGGAGCAAATCCAGGCACCCCCCACTTCCCAGTTGGTGATCCTCAAAAATTCCTTAACTGCTGCAATTCCTCAGTTTCCAGCCAAGGGTAGCAGTATTTTGCTTATACTCTAAAGGGTTTGTCATCTTGATGAACTGAGTCAATCATATAAAACAGGTAAATAGTGTCTGTCTCAGAGTGTGAGCTCAGACAGGTAGGGAAGCTGCCCCAGAACACACAGTAATGCCAGAGCCAGGGTTATCTGAGCCCACGGAACTTGCTTTTGAAATACCTCTTTGACAGTCTCTTCAACAGATTGTGCTGGCAAAACTGGACAGCTACATGTAAGAGACTGAAACTGGATCACTGTCTAAACCCATACACAAAAGTAAATTTGAAATGGATCAAAGACCTGAATGTAAGTCATGAAACCATAAAACTATTAGAAAAAACTATAGGCAAAAATCTCTTGGACATAAACATTAGCGACTTCTTCATGAACATATCCTCCCGGGCAAGGAAAACAAAAGCAAAATTGAACAAGTGGGACTATATCAAGCTGAAAAGCTTCTGTACAGCAAAGGACACCATCAATAGAACAAAAAGGTACCCTACAGAATGGGAGAATATTCGTAAATGACAGATCCGATAAAGGCTTGACATCCAAAATATATAAAGAGCTCACGCACTTCAACAAACAAAAAGCAAATAACCCAATTAAAAAATGGGCAAGGAGCTGAATAGACAGTTCTCCAAAGAAGAAATTCAGATGGCCAAAGACACATGAAAAGATGCTCCACATCGCCTGTCATCAGAGAAATGCAAATGAAAACCACAGTGAGGTATCATCTCACTCCAGTTAGGATGGCCAACATCCCAAAGGCAAACAAGAACAAATGTTGGCGAGGTTGCGGAGAAAGGGAAACCCTCCTACACTGCTGGTGGGAATGTAAATTAGTTCAACCATTGTGGAAAGCAGTATGGACGTTTCTCAAAATGCTCAAAATAGAAATACCATTTGACCCAGGAATTCCACTTATAGGAATTTACCCTAAGGATGCAGCACTCCAGTTTGAAAAAGACAGATGTACCCCTATGTTTATTGCAACACTGTTTACAATAGCCAAGAAATGGAAGCAACCTAAGTGTCCATCAGTAGATGAATGGATAAAGAAGATGTGGTACATATACACAATGGAATATTATTCAGACATAACAAGAAGACAAATCCTGCCATTTGCAACAACATGGATGGAGCTAGAGGGTATTATGCTCACTGAAATAAGCCAAGGGGAGAAAGACAAATACCAAATGATTTCACTCATCTGTGGAGTATAAGAACAAAGGAAAAACTGAAGGAACGAAACAGCAGCAGAATCACAGAACCCAAGAATGGACTAACAGTTACCAAAGGGAAAGAGACTGGGGAGAATGGGAGGGTAGGGAGGAATAAGGGCGGGGAAGAAGAAAGGGGGTATTACGATTAGCATGTATAATGTGGGGGGTGGGGGAGGGCTGTGCAACACAGAGAAGACAAGTAGTGATTCTACAACATCTTACTATGCTGATGGACAGTGACTGTAATGGGGTTTGTGGGGGGCATTTGGGGTAGGGGAGAGCCTAGTAAACATTATGTTCTTCATGTAATTGCAGATTAATGATAACAAAATTAAAAAATAATAATAAAATAAAATAAATGTTACTATGCGGAAAAAAAAAAAAAGAAATACCTCTTTGGAGTAGAGTCTGGGGACAGGGGAACAAAGGCCTCTACCCCCAAATACTTGGCCCCAGCCTGGCTCTTGTCCTTTATGAAGTGCAGGGCTTCCTAGGACTTGCCCGGGCCCCTCCCCTTTTTCCTCCCATTTTGCCCTCCCGCTGCCCTCCTCTCTCCATCTCTCTCTTAACGCTTCCTCCTCCTTTCCCCCCCCCTCTCTCCCTCTTCCCCACCCTGCCCCTCTTCCTTGGCTGCTCCTACAGGGGCAGAGCAGACCCAGCCTTGGACCTCAGTTAACACTTCTTGTCCCTCTCTGGGCCTCCCTTTCCCCAGCTACAAGATGAAGGGCTGGACAACGGAAATGTGAAGGTCACTGGACTAACGTCTGCACGGGTTGGGACAGATTCTCTGAGCATGAGTGCGTTGCCCCGCTTGTGCCCAGGGGTGCTCCCCTTGTGCAGGAGCACCCAGCCTCCTACCTCCACATCCCAGCAGCCCTCCGTGTTTGGGTGAGAAAGAAGTCCCCCAGCTTTGGGATCTGTGACCTCGCTGCCCAGACTGGTTAGTGCTGAACCCTGGGACAGTGACTCACAGACAAATGCTTTCCTTCTGGCTGGCATCCCCAAGACACCTAGATAGGAGTAGGGTCGCAGTTAACTCCTTAGCTGGCCCCAGGCTCTCCTAGGCTCCTGCTAGACTCTTCTAGCATCTTGAGTATTGCTGTCATTGTCTTTAGGAAAGGCTGCCATTAAAGCTGTCTGTGCCACATCGGACACCCTCAAGCAGTTACACCAGTTTGGTGGGAGTGCTGGTGAGGCCTTCCACTGCTGTCACCACCTCTAATGGAGAGGGAACCTCGGAAGTCAGAGCTTGAACACTCCCTCCCCAGTGGATTAGCACAGCTCCCTCCTTAGGTGGATGGAGAAATGTGGCCCCCAAGAGAGGGGGGTCTTTCCCCAAAGGCTTCAGAGTTAAGGATACACCAAGGGGCGCTGAGCTGCTCAGGGTGAGGTTGGCAGATGCGTTGTTCCTTACAAGGGGCTTACAGGGGCCAGCGCTGGGAGTGGGAGGGTGCAAAGCAAGAAAGGAGAGGTAGGGGAGCTGGAGGCAAGGAGGCCAGGGCTCTTTTCTGGGTCCCAAGATGCCCACGCCCCAGTTTATGTCTAGTCTTCTATTCTCTGCCCTGATGCTCTGAATGACCTGGAGTAATCCCTCTCCCTCCCTGGACCTCAGTCTCCCCACCCATCCCTATGAAGTTGGGCTGAATCATTGTCAGCAAATATTTACTATACTGAAGCATTACTGTTGGCCAGGCTCTATGCTGGGCTCCAGGGACGCACTGATGGACAGGGACCCCAGGAGCTGGGGCCTGAAGGGGTAAAGGTTGATGATTTTTCACGGTGTGGGAGAGACACCTCCCAAAACAAAGGAGAGCTTATCAGACCCAGACTTCGGGACCCGAGGCCCTCCTGGCCGGCTCGCAACCAGCACTCCCTTTTCCTCTGTCCCTCTGCCCTTTTGTTTATCGCCCACTTAGGAGAGAGGACCCTGGATCAGGTCCTAGGGTGGTGCCGGGTCCAGGTTAGGGAGGTGGCCATCGCTGCCAGGAAGAGAGAAGGCCTTTGACCCCCATCAAGCCTGTTCCAGCCTCCCAGGCAGGTCCTCGCAAGGGAAGCCCTCTGAGCAGCCAGCCGAGAGCCCTGCCGCCGGCCCTCAACCCGAGCCTGGAGGGGCTCGGTTCCTTGGCAACATCCTGAGGAATCCAGCCGCCGCGCACTGGCTCCCTTCCTCTCCCCTCCCACCCGCCTGCCTGCGGGGGCCGGAGGCGGGGGCGGAGGCACAGGCAGCGGCTGAGGAGCCCCATTATAAAACGCGAGGACGAGCTCCGGCGGTGGGGTCACAGCACCGATCTGGGACGCCGGCTTCGCGGCCTCCCCTGGCCCCGCCTGGACCCCCGCCCGCCCTCAGCCATGGCTCCTCCAGCTCCATTGTGGCTGCTCCGCTTGGCTGCCATCTGCCATCTGACCATGCTGATGGCCGGTGAGTGGGGTGGACTAGGGCATGAGCTGGGGTGGGGGGCTCCCAGCCCTACTTCTGTCCCACAGACCTGACACCAGGGCCCCCGGACCCTGCCTGGGTAAGACTAGCAGCCCTTTCTAAAGGATGTGGAGGAGGGGGCTGGGCGCCTTCCTGGCCTCTGATGCCGGGCGGCCCCTCCGCTGGAAAGATCTCCCGTGTCCGGAGACTGACCTTGCTTGGCCCAGTGAGCAAGGTGGCTATCGCATGGCAGGTGGTATGGGTGGCACAAGGGTGCCAGGGGTGAGGGGTGGGGGCTCCGGGAAGCCTGAGGAGGCTTCTCCTGGGCACTGGGGAGGGAGGCTTGGACTGACAGTGGGCTGGATCTCTTTGCCCAGGGATGTGAGGTTAACCTGTAAGTAACACTCAGCTCTGGCCCGGAGCCACGCCCCAGATGGGACTTTATCCTGCCCTGATTTCAAGGCACTAGAGTAACGGGCCCAGGATCAGTGGCGGTCAAGGTCATTTTAGCTCATGGATTGGGCGCATTGCTGTTGCTGTAGCCCCAATCCCTCTGCCTTATTTCCCCTATGATACGGTCTTCCTCCTCAAAGCAGAGCTTAGAAAATGCTTTCACTTCCAGGCACTTGTTTTCTGAAGCTTGGTACTGGTAGACCATGATGTGCCCATTCCACCTGATATGAGTAAGATGGAGGCCCAGAGAGGTTTAGAAACTGGCCCAAGGATGCACAGCCAGCAAGTAGGGCAGGAGAGAAGAAAACTGGATGCAGGAGAGAACGTGGGTGCATGGTCATTACCTTTGCCAGCCACATGGCCTCTGAGAGCCACTTGGGCCTGCCTGTCCTCAGGGAGTGCCCGGGCTGAGGGTGGAGAAGGTGGAAGCCTGCCTTAGGGCACACAGCAAGTCTGGAAGAATGGAAACATTTTCCAGACACCTCCATGGAGCAAACTGTCTCCTGAGGCTCACCCTGCGGGGAAAACCCACCAGCGGGGCAGGTAGCAGGTGGCTAGGGACAGTGGAGGCCAAGTGCTGCTGGCTTCCTGCTTCGTGGGCTTGAATTCTGAGGCCAGAAGTGTTTGAAGAGAGTGAGCCCAGGAAGACAAGGAGTCAGATGGAGGTTGCTTTGCCATAGCTGTGACCCTGCGCAGGCTATTGCCTTCTACAGGGTACCACCTACCTCACCTTTAGCTACAGCTATTGCCTCCTGTGCGATGAGGCCTAGGAGGGCATTTTGGAAGTGGGAGGAGGAGGATGACTTATACTAAAAGGCGAGAGTTGGGTGGGGTGGGGGATTCCTGTTCTAGGATGAGAAGGGATCCTGGGGGGACCCTAGATGCTCTTTCTATTAGACCGAGCCTCCAGGACTATCAGGTTTCTGCCTTAATCTTGGTTTCTGACTTTATTGGGAGATACTCCCATCATTTTAGTCTTCCTGAGCCTCAGTTTCTCTTCTTGGACATTTGTACCATAGGCCCACCTTGGAGGTCCTCATCCACACTGACGTTTGTGGCCCCAAGATACCCCCTGGGAGTCCCTCCAGGACTAGGGGGTGGGCCAGAAGCCAGAGAGGCTCCTTGCCATGCTGGCTGGTGCAGGGCAGCAGGGTCAGTTCCTAAATGTGGGTTTGTGGGGCTGTGTCAGGCAGGAGGCTCCTCTGCTTTATATAACAAACCTGCAGACACAAGTCAGAGCAGAGAATTTTCCCCCCGAAGCACTGACGCATTCACTCCCACTCAAGCCCCAGCATGAAAGAGAAAAAGAAAAAATCAGTTTTAAGCAGCTGTAGTCTGCCCCTCTGGATAGCTGTGGGCTTGGATGGGGAGGCAGGGAGGATTAATTCAGAGTGTCAGATCCAGGCCCCTGTTGAACTTAAATAAAAATTCCTGTTTCTCCATTGATTAAGGTTTCATATGCCACAAAGTATTTCCTTGTGCATTTTGTTTATTTATTCAACAAATATTTATGGGGCATCTGCCATGTGCCAGGCACTGTTGTAGGTGCCAGGGCCACATCAGTGAATAAAACCGCTCAAGATCCCAGTTGTCAGGGTGCTGAACACCAACTGGAAAGACAGACAATACGAAAGTAAATCACTGAACCGTTTGGCTTATTAGAAGGAAAAAAAAGTGCTGTGGCTTAAAAAAGAATTGAAAGCGGGGAGGGTGGGGAAGACATTGAAATTTTGAGTACAGGATTAGGGAAGGGGGTGTCAAGGCAAGGAAGGGTGGAGCCATGTGGATGTCTCTGGGGCAGTTCGGCCCCCAGGGGACACCTGGCAATTTCTAGAGAAATTTTTCGTTATTTACAAATGTCCCAACATTTTTGGCTGGGTGATGCTCAGAAATCTAGTGGGTAGAGGCCAGGGGTGGTGCCAAACATCCTACAGGGCACAGACAATCCCCACAACACAGAATTATCTGCTCTGAAATGTCAGTTATATTTGCTGTTGAGTAAACCTTGCTCTAAGGGTTCAGATATTTTTAAATCTTTATTCTCACAACTACTCTGTGAAGCAGGTATTATAATATCCATTTTATAGGCAAGGGAACTGAGGTTCAGAGAGTCTAAGCAGCTCATCCAAGACACACAGCTGAACAATGGATCAAGCCCTCTTTTTCTTACCTCACCTAGAAACCAGGAACATTCTAGTCTCTTCTTGCCTGTAAGCCTCTTAGCCAGCCATCCTGGAGGCCCTGCCTAAAGGACACCTCTTCCAGGAAGTCTTCCCTGATCACTTGCAATTGGAGGCAGTCTCTCTCTCATGCAAATGTCAGCACATCTGGGGATGTTCTGGAACTTGGTGTTTCTGCCTGGTGTTTAAGGCTATCCAGAACAATGGGATGTCCAGGGGCTAGGAGAAAAATGAGATCTGCCAGTAAGCAGCTGTGTGGACTTGCACAAGTCATTTAATCTCTCTGATTCTCAGATTCCGCATCAGTAAAATGGGACAACTATACCTGCTTTGCAGAGATGTTGGCAATTAATGAGTGCAGATGCTCATGCGCTGAACACAGTCAATGCTCAACTAAGATATGCTCTGATACTTCGTGGGTATGTCATGGTTGCCCTTCAGCCTGGGAGCCTTCTGAGAGCAGAGATGGGCCTTGTTCATCCCACTCCCCCTCACATTGCCCAGCACAGGGCATGGCAAGAGGGAAGGTCAGCATTTACTGATGGACTGAGTAAATGCTGTGATCTGATAGCATTTATTGGAATTGAGGTGCTCTCCCCAAACTTCGCACCAGCACCTATGGGAGAAAGAGCTCAGCATTAAGGACAAGAAGGCCTGGGTCTTTGTAGACACTCAAAAGTAATTCAGATAAATGTTGGCTGAATCAAGAAATGCATGAATGCATGGATGGGTAGCTGGGTGGATGAAGGATGAGTGAATGGGCTGATAAGGGATGGATGGATGGGCAGATGAAAGGGAGTGAAGAATGGGTAGGGAATGGACAGGTGGCAGGTGGGTGATTAGGGGATGGGTAGATGGATGGATGGGGGTGAGTAGGGACTGGTGGGAGGTAGACAGGTTGTTGGGTGGGGAATGGGTAGGGGATTGACAGGAGAGGGCAGATAAATGGGTGGATTGATGGATAGGTGGGTGGAAAAGTAGACTGAGACATTATTTCATACAATGGATATTTATTGAGTATCCATTTTGTGCTGGGAAACACTGACACCAAAAGAGACAAAGTCCCTGCCCTCCCGAAACTCACATGGCAGATAAATAGCTGGCTGGCTGGAAGCACTTTTCCTAATTACAGAAAAGCAAACTTCAGTTCTGAGTAAGAAAGATAGTTACACAATATTCCTCAGGCAGAACCAAGAACAGAGCCCGGCCAAGGGCATTCAGGCACCAAGCCAGAGAACCGGGACTTTGGGGACAGGCTGACTTTGTGGCTCTTCAAAGGCATTGGGGGTGGGCAGTGCCCCTCCACATTGTGGAAGTAGATTCAAGAGAGCAAACTGCCCTTACCCAGCTAACCCCTCCCACTGGCTCGGGGTCACCCAGGGGTCCTGGCTTTCTGGGGCTTCCCCAGGAGCACACCTGCCAGACCGGTCCAGGAGGCTGCATCCTGCTCTGTTCAGCAGGGGCTGGGGAGGCTGCAGCTGAGTCATTCAGAGGTCCCACTGTGGGAGAAGGAGGGTAAAAAGGCAGCAAGTTGACTCACATCCTCCTTCCTCAGAGAGAAAGGGCAGCCTGTGACTTAGGCATCTGTAGCTGCGAGTGCCCCCTGCTCAACCTTGGGAGCTACTAGTGCTGCCTTTTGATGGCCACGACCAGCGTGGCCCTGCAGGCCCCAAGAGGGAATGGGCTAAGGCTAAGGGCCAGTGATGGGAGAGGACGCAGCAGATTCTAGAAAGTGTGTGTGCATGTGTGTGTGTGCACGCACACTCGTGTGTGCTGGTATCTGAAAAAGCAGAGCATGTCTGCACATCCACGACCACATAAGTATTCCTGCATGAGCAGTGTGTGTTGTGGTGGAACCTGGAGATCAGCCGGGGCTGCCCAGGTTCTGCAGAACTGAGATCAGTTTGCCTCTCAACTCCACTGCCCTGGAAGTCCTGGCATCTAGATTTTTGCAAAACCCTGTGGGGTCTTGCTTCTGCTGAGTGTGACCTTGCCCAGATATGAAACTCAAACCCTCCCTTATTTCTGACATACCCTCTCAAGCATACACTAGAGTCAATTTTGCTGGAGAGTTTAGGGGGAGGGGGAGGTAGAAATGTAATGCAAACAACTTCAAATGTTTATATAAAATATTTGAGTTCTCAACTATCTATTGAGTCACTCTCATCCTGTCCTGGGGTTTCTCTGGCTCCATGTGGCACCCAGCCACCTGCAGGCCCCTGCCCATCGCCCTCTGCCCCTACCCCACGCACAGCCCCCTTCTCCATCCCTCCTCCTTCCTGCTGCCCTAGCTGCCCTGGGAACTCTAAAGGGCCAGTTCAGTTCCTCTCAGCAACTGTTCCCAACCTGTCTTAGCTCTACAGGCAGAACAGGGGATAATCTACTCAGCAGACCTCTCCCCCTGTGACCTACCTTAGGAGGTGGTTGTGCTTATACGTTTTTATTATTTGTTACATGTGCCGTGTACACATGCCATTATGTGTTTTTGTGTGGGAGACTATATATATGTGCCATTGTATTATTGGTGTGTGTGCATGTGTCATGGGCTGTGCACATGAGAAGTTGTTGTGGAAATCTGAAGTGGAAAACAGAAGTCTGGGTGTAAAAGTCAGAGGTCACGGAAATCCGTGAACATGGATCAGCCTGAGAAGGAGGAGTGGGTGCATATACATATATATATATATATATACGTTAGGGAGAGCTGAGCCAGTGACTTACTGGGTAGAGCAGGGTTGGGGGATGGGCAGCACCACGGGCCCAAAGGAGGGAGTCAGGCCTGGTAGGAGAGGCTGTAAATCACTTGCTGGCTGTGTGACCGCAGGCAGATCCCTGTCACTCCCAGACTTGTCTCCCCTGCTGTACAATAGACTGACTAGAGCCACTTAATTTTTTTAATTAAGCACTATGTGCCAAGTAATAAGAGCTCTCTAAATAAGAGTTCATTTCCATGAATCCTTACAACAATAGATTCTACTGTTGTCTCTATTCTGCAGGTGGGGAAACTGAGGCATAGAGTGTTTTGTTTTTTTGGCAAGGGACAGGAGTCTGAGGTCAGGGGCCTCTAAGGCCAGGGTGTGCTGAGCTTCGGTTCTGGCTTGGGTGGTGTGACTGAGACAAGCTGTCATGAGCTGGGAAGCCAGATGCTCATGGACAGTCCTATTGACTGGGGACTTCTGGGCTCAGGACAGCACCATGGAGTGAAGAAATGCAGTGTCGTATGCAGTAAGATGCACCCGGAGATCAATGTGGATTTTCTAGTCAACTATCAACGAACTGAAGCATCCTGCAGGAAACCCGCCATCATGTAGGTACTGCCCTCTTGGCCTGTGCATTCCTGATAGGCTCTGGGGATAGTTCCAGGCCTCTGCTAATCCACTTCCATATCCTCCCACCCAAACCAGGGTTTTTGGCCAGGGCCTCAGCAAATGTTCCTCCTGTTCCTGGCCTGTTGATCTTAATACGTGTGCTACATAGCAAAGGTGTGACATGGCTTCCTGAGTGGCCCGTGACCTGGAGCAGCCACCAGAGGGGCCCAAGCATGCCTTATGCGGAGCTTAAACTGGCTAGATGTCATGGGAAGGTAAAGCGTGGTGGTCTCAAAATGCAGGCTCCAGGCTATACCAGATCTGGTGCAAATCCTGCCTTCACTACTTGCAGGCTGGGTGGCCCTAGTCACATTGCTTGTCCTCTGCCCTTAGTTTCCTTATCTGTAAAAGCAGTATTTGGGAGGATGAAAGGATATAATGTCACTGAAGTGTTTAGCAGGGTGCCCGGAAGCTGCTGACAATAGGGGAGGCAGATATTATCATCTCCACCTGACAGATGAGGAAACAGGGCCCTTGTAGGACTTTGGAGAGGGGCCATGCCCAGAGAACCTTGCCCCTGGCTGTTGGGACCCCTGGCCTCTGGCTTCTTGCTCGTTTGGTGGCTCCTCTTGGGTACTGCCCAGTTGTCCAGCCTGGAGGCCTTTCCCCAGGGCTGATCTTTGGACCCTGCAGCAGCCTCATGTAGATCCAGGGAATCCTGGTGGTGGGGCAGCACCATGCCTGTGGGGGCCTGAAACGTCACACTTGCATCCTGGACTTCTCTGGCTTCCTTGCGTACTGGAGCCAGGCACATTTACATTACCTCACTGAGCCTCTGTTTTCTTATCTGTAAAATAGTCATGAGCTTGGTAGCCACCTTGCAGGACGGTGTGAAGTATAAACAGTCAAAATGCCCCAGCCGTGGCATGGAGCAAGGACTCCAGTCAGCTCTGAGCTGTGGTCTCAGCAGTGAACCACCCATACACAGATTCAGAGGAAACTCAAGATTTGGATGGCACTCAGGGTCCCAACAGGGCCGCCATGTACATGGCTGTAGCTCACCAGGTGCCCTTTCAGCCCAGGGACACCCACTAGGAGAGGAGGGAGAGGACATTGTGACAATGAGGAGGCATCATTGCCCAGCTTGCCAGTCACACACCCATGATGCCTCCTCCCAATCAGAAGGCAGGTACAGCCCAGAGCCCCTGCCTTAATGGTAACAACATTATTCTTAACATTGTTATTATTTTCAGCTATTATTGCTCGCCTATGCTGAGCCAGGTGCATTACATAATTTTCATTATTTATAGTAATACAGATGTAAGGTGACCTACTTGTCCCACGTTGCTGGGACTTTCTGAAGGGCTGCATCTGCAGAGGCCCCTCAGTCCCAGTTTTTCTGGGATGGCTGGTCATCCTATAGACAGCAGGTATCCTATCTCCAGTTCTCAGGTGAGGACACAGAAGTCCCAGAGGTCTAGCTGCCCCAGCTGATCAGCTCAGAGCTCACAGCTAATAGGTGGTGGGGGCAGAATTCCCAACAGGGTCTGTTTACCTGCAGGGCATTCATGTGGTCATCCTACTCCACGTGGCATCTGTGCATCACTGGGTCTCTCTCTTCCTTCCTTGCAGCTTCAAGACCCAACGGAAACTACAGATCTGTGCTGACCCAAAGGAGCAATGGGTCCAGAAAGCCATAGAGCATCTAGACCACCGGGCTGCTGCTCCAACTCAAAATGGTGGCACGTTTGAGAAGCAAATCGGCATGGGTGAGCCCAGGAGCGCCCCAGCCACCAGTGGAATGAATAGGTCCATGGTCGCAGAGCCCAGAGCCACAGGGAAGAGCAGTAGCCAGGAGGCACAGAGGGCCTCAGTGGCCTCTCCAGAACTGCCAACAGGAGAGGTTGGTTCCCGGGGGACCAGGAACCCCTCCACTTCAAAGGCTGCAGACGGAGGGCCTCCAGTTTGGCCCGAGACAACTGAGCCGTTCAGCACAGCTGATGTCACCACTGCCATATTGTGGCAGAGTTCTGCTGCCTACAGACCTGGGTCGGTTCTCGGGGCTGAAGAAAAAGCCTCTGAGGCTCCCTCCACCCAGACCCTCTCGACCCCAGCCCTTTCTACTGAGGTCTCCTCCACCCAGAACCTGGCCCTTTCCACCCAGGACCCCACCATTTCACACACAGCCCCAGAAGACAACACAGGGCCTGAAAGCCAACCTGTGTGGACCAAGGGCCAAAAACCCACACCAGAAAACTCTCTAGGGCCAAAGGAGATGGGTCCCACCTCAGCTCACATGGATGCTTTCCCAGGGCTGGGAAGCACACCCCGTGTCCCTGTCTCCTCTGCAGGGGCCCCCAGCAGGGAACCAGTGGCCTCAGGTAGCTGGGGCCCCAAGGCTAAGGAGACCATCCATGCCACTGTGGACCCCCAGAAGCTGGGTGTCCTCATCACTCCTGTCCCTGACTCCCAGGCAGCCACCCGGAGGCAGGCGGTGGGGCTCTTGGCCTTCCTTGGCCTCCTCTTCTGCCTGGGGGTGGCCATGTTTGCCTACCAGAGCCTCCAGGGCTGCCCCCACAAGCTGTCAGGGGAGATGGTGGAAGGGCTTCGCTGTGTCCCCCGGAGCTGTGCCAGTAACTCATATGTTTTGGTGCCAGTGTGATCAGCCCACCTGCCTGCATCTAGCTGTTCAACTCAGACAGCTTCCTGGGGTCCTTCGTCCTCACACTCACCCTTACCCAAGGGCCTGACCCAGACTGGGGTGATTGGAGCAGGGAGGTGGGACCTTCCAGGTGGGGCTGCTCCCGGCTCCCAGGCCTACCCCAGGAGGTCACTCTTGACCATTCTTGACCTGCTGGGAACAGAGATGATGGCCTCTGCAACTCACTCCAATGACCCTAAGTCAGAAAACCCTCTTCTGCTGCTGGCTAGTTAGAGGTTCCCTTTGACACATTCCCAGCCCCAGTGAACAATTATTTATTGAACACCCAGCCCCTCTGGCCCATGTCCCCAAGAGAGTACCACAGTCATCCCATCTCACAGATGAGCTGCAGGCCAGGCGCCGTCTGCCCGCTCCCCCAGACCTCACTGTGTCTCTTGGTCCCGCTGCAGTTGCCAGTCACCCCGGCCACTTGCGGTGCTATCTCCCCTGTCCCCTGTACAGAGCCCATGCCCCAGCCGGGGGACCTACCTTTTTTTGCATGAGGCTAGTGTGTTTCCTGGGACTGCTCCCAGCAAAGGCTTTGCCCTCGGTTGTCATGGGAGGGGGTGTGGGAGTTCTCCAGTAGCTTTGACTTCTTTCGCTCCTCAGTCTTTGCTGTGCAATGGGGAAACATTAACTGTGTATGTGAAGGCTGGGGTTCGGGTCCCAGGCCCACCACCAGCCTGACAAGGCATCTGTAAAGAAGGATGGTAAATGTGTGGCAATAACCTGTATCCCTGACGTCATCATGAATTTATCCAGAGACCCAGAGCACAGTCTCACAGCCTTCAGCGGCAGAGCAGCTTAGTCACTCTCTGCCAACCAGTGGGACTGGCACGTCCGTGGACCCTGGACTTGGAGGGCAGTCTCCACTTCCCTCTCATTGTCCCTGAGAGTGATCTTTGCCCTCCCCCTGAGCAGTGTCCCATGGGCTGGGCTTCCCCTGGGTGCGGGTGACAGTCTACTTGGCAAATAAATGCCCAGCGGAAGCAAAGGAAACTGGTTCTCAGAGAGAGGGCAGCCATGCTGCTCTGCCCACCTGCAAAGGGGGGCACAACAGGACTGAATGCACTTTTTGGGGGCTCCTCCACATTGGGAGAACCTTCAGGGGGTAGAACACCCATATTGGGGCTCCCCTCCCTTGAGAGAAGGCAGCTGGGGCCACTGGTCCCCCTTCCATAGACTTGATTAGTTCCCCCAAGCAGGACATGGACAGGGACAGTTTGGGGGGACTTTGGAAGAAGTTGGTTGATCCTTTTGCTTTTCCAACCCAATCACCAATGTCCATGCCATTTTGTAATTTACTAATAAAATTGAAAAGTCTTGTGAATCGAATAAAGTTGCTTTTTCTAGAGCAGGCTCAGCCACCAGAATTTCAGGGGGATGGAACAAGGGAGGGGCCGAGAATCTGTGGGGAGCCCTGGAGACCCCCTTCCCTAGCCTTCCCGGGGCAGAGGGGCAAGAATGTTTAGTCAGCAGGAGGAGGGGCACTGGGAAGAGGGGTGAGGGGCATTGAGCTCCTGGCCTGGCTCTGCTTGGCCCAGCTGTGTGACACTAGGCCATGCCTTTACCTCTCTGAACCTGTATACAATCAGGTGTGAGGCCTCTCCTAGTGATTCCCATCCCCAGCAGTAATCAAACTCCCTCATGAAGCCTTCCCCATCCCGCCCCCCACCATGCCTACTAAACCACCATCTTGGGGGCCTTGGTATCACCATTAGTGATCTGGTGACCCACAGAAGCAAACTGGGCCACATCTTCCTCTTTGCTGCCTTGTCTCATTGCTGGTCCAGATAAAAATCAAAGAAGGTTTACTTCTCAAGGAACTGCTGGATGGCCTCGCCCCCCCGCATGGCGGTGGATGGGGCCGACCAGGCTGAGGCCTCCAGTTCCGCCATCCCTTCCATTTCTCGGTGCTCCCGGACCCTACAGCCATGTCAGTTGCTATTTATCATCACTCTTCTCTTATTTTTCTTACAATAAGGATATTTTTCTGAGCCCAACTTGCTATTAAAGTAGGACAAAGAAAGGCAAGCCATGGTTGCTCTTACACCCTACTGGCTTCCTTCATTTCACTACCTGCCGAAGTGCATAGACATTTGGCTTTGAGGTTCGTGCAGGAATCTGGGTTTGCTGCCCTGCACAAGCTGCCAGTTCTAGTACTTCCCTTAGCAGAGAGCTTTCGCTCTCTGCGCTCAGCCCCAAAGCCATTTCCTCCTGCTTTGGCCCAGACAACCCCTAGGAAGGAGCTCGGGGGCAAGGTCACAGGCCTCCAACCGCACCCCTCAACACCATCCTTGGGGAAGGCAACACAAAACACCACCAGCAGCTCTGAAATAAAAATATTTGTCCCTGCCTTTTTATCACATTGTTAGGCAAGGCTTAAACTCATCATGCTCTGGAAGGGGATGGAGAGCAGGAGAAAACCTCTTTCCTGGCTCGATCCAGACCAGTTCCCCAGGGATCCTGGTGTGTTTGTGTTTTATTTTCTCTTTCAGTTCAGAGCTAAACTTCAGCTGAATCCCCACAGTTACTGCAGAGTTTCATGGAGACTTGGGGGCCTCTAAAATCTCTGATAGGGCTGCCAGGGTTCTGGGCATCAGAGTAACAAATGTAACATAGACAATAATAATAATAACAATAACAGCCATGGTTTATTTGACCTTTACCACAGGCCAGGCAGTGTGCTAAATTCTTGGTGTACAACAGTCTTCATTTCACAGATGATGAAAGTAAGGCTCTCAAAGGATACATGACTTGCCTAAGGTCACACAGCTTATGAGCAGCAGAGCTGGGATACAACCCAACGTCTTTCTCCAGAACTTGAATTTTAGCTACTGAGTCTGAAGTATGACCCACAGATTCTTAAAAGTACAGACTCCTGAGCTTACTGAATTCAGATATCAGGAGTGGGAGAGCTGGGAATCTGTACTTTCAAGTTATCGTCCTTGTTACCCCTCCTCCTTCTCCTGTCTGCCCCCCTCTGCCCTACATTGCCCTCCAAATTAGGGGATTTGGCACCTAGCCAAAATTTTAGAGACTCCCCCCCCCCCCCCGCCTTAACCAGGCCACCCACTCCCATCCCCTGAGACTTGCAGGGTCTTCTGGACAGTAGCTGCCTGCTGCCTTGTCACTGTTTGCTCTTTGCTATTAGTCCCTCTTCCCTCCCCTGTGTTCTTTGTACATTCCCCAAAAGGGTGAGGCCAGGCAGAAAAAAACAGAAATGAATGGCTGGGAATTTCCAGCATGAGGTTGAACAATAGATGCCTGGGGGCCACGATGCATACGTATGTCACGTGTGCGGGCGTGCATGTTTGTGTGTGCACATGCCCTGCTGCCCTTATGTGTGTGAAACTCAGGAAACCACCTGTACCCCCATTCACTACTGCTCAGTCACATGCTTTCTGGGATTTAAGCAAAGATCTAGTGCCAGGCTGACTTCTCCAAGCTGACCATAAACTTAATTGGCCAAACGCATGCAGGATCTCCTTAATCTCACCAAACTGAGCAGGGGTGGTACCTCTGAACCCAGGAGAATTCCAGAGTGGCACATTTTGGGAAGAGATGCCCCTCTCTTATCTTCAAGGGATCCGTTGCACCCAGTGGACAAAATAGAATTCTTTGTAATGAGCATTTTGTTTTTTAGCCATTCAGGAGTGGGATATAACATGGGGATCTCTGGCTGTGTGATTTTGGTCGAGTTGCTTAATCTCTCTGGGTCTTGGTTTAACCTCCAATGGCCATAGTGAGCGCTCAGTAAATAGAAACTCTGACCATGCAACTGATGTTTCCGAAGGGTTTGAAACATCCCATTTCCATTCCTTTTTTTTATTGGAAACCCAAACAAGATTATAGAATTATGGGATATCTATAAAAAAAGTAGTCTTGGTGGTTTTCAGTAAAATATGGTGAAGAAATGTTATGGTGTCATTAAGCAGAGAAGAATAATTTGTAATTTGCATAATTTTTCCCTAAGCTAATAGACACTGTTCAAGTGAATGTAACTTTTCTCCTCTAAATTGCTTTTGAACTTGGCAAGGTCAAAACTTATGAATCCTAACTAATGAAAACCAGGCTAGCAAGACATCTGAATCTTGAACAGAAAGGGAAGTTTGTTAGTGTTAAGTCCTTGGAGAACTCAGTAGCCAGTCGCCCTGAATATTTCTGGCTTGCTACCCCCGTGGACACATGGGAGGGCTGCTCTTCCTGCTCCCTTAGGGTTGGTGGGGGCCAAACAACAGATTCTGGCCAGTGAGCTGAGAGTGGAAGTAATGTGTGTCACAAGGTTCAAACATTTAATTGCTGATGAGATAGTCTCCAGAACTTTTAGTCCCTCTGGGTCAGCACCTGCCAACATTCCAGACAATCACTGTTTCCTCACCCTGGGTCGCAGAGTGAGGGTGATTCAAGAGCCTCCAGCCATGGAAAGAGCCCCAGCTGATCTATGTGGAAAAAAAATAAACCTTTGTCGATTTAAGCCACCGAGAGTTTAAGGTTATTTGTTATTGCAATATAACCTAGCCTGTTCTGACTGACTCAGCAGTGAGGAGGAAGAAACACGCTGTTACTTGGATCAAGCAGGGATGACTTGTCAGTAAAGGGCATGATGCTGTTAAAAAGCTTGAAGACATTCCCTAAACTGGGATCAATAGGTTCCATTATTTAGCTTGCCCCTCTTCATCTGTTCTCTGTGCAGATGTATGAAGGTCAACCTTAGCCTCCCAGCTATCTGGGTATCTGAATTTCTCATTGAGTGGAGTTGGAAAGAACACGTTTGTCGTTTCTCTGAGATACATTGATGCTCGGGAGTCCTAGTGGCTCAGATATGCTGGTGATCACTTCAGCGGACAAGGAAGCAAACAGGGAGAAGAATATTAATGCTATTGAGCACCAGCTGTTTGCCAGATGATCTGGATCAAACAGTCTTGCAGGTACCTCCTGATCTCAGAAGCCCAATCAGGGTAACCTGGGCCTGTTGGCACAGAAGTTGGGCATTTTTACACAGTTCTAGGGTCTGACAAGTGCATGCTCCGTGTCTTTGTTTTCCTGGAGGATTTCAGTTGGCCCACTGGCTCCAGCCTTACTTCTCCTGATGCTTGTTCCCCTATTCTTGCTACCCTTCCCTAAGACACCTTTGGCCACACATTTTTTTTATATCCTGAAGTCAATCTTCTATCTCATACCTCTGAGCCATTGTACTGGCTATTCCGCCCTGCCTGGAATAACTTTCCCTTCACTGTTCCCCTGGCAATTCCTACTCACTCTTTGATCTCAGCTTAGATGCCACTTCCTCCAGGAGGCCTTCCCTGACTTCTTAGCTTAATAAATGTTCCCTGCTATGGGTGCTCACCACACCTGCACCCATGATAAGCCTCACATGACCTGGCTGTTCCTGTTTGTTTTCTGTAAGGTCTTACCTTGCCTCTGTAAGGTCTGAAAGGGCAGGGATGTGTGTGTGTGTGTGTGTGTGTGTGTGTGTGTGTGTGTGTGTGTGTGTGTGATTTGCCTTTGTGCCCCAGGTCCTGGAAGGAATGAAAGGGAAAGGGCCAGTGCCCACAGCCATCTGTGTCTCTCAGCACTCTCTGACCTGGTGCCTGTACCACACACCTTTCTGATTTACAGAAAGCTACCTGTCCATGTGGGGAACAGCATTTTAAGGCATTTCCTGGCAAAAAATTTAAATACATTTCATTGCTTCAAGGGGATGTTAGAGACTGAAGGTGGCCATCTGGGAAGATGTGTCCAAGTCACTCCTGAACCCCTCTGACCTTCCACCAGCACATTCTGGTCATGAAACTGCTCCCTAAGCCCAGTTAGGATCCTAGAAAGCCTGGATTGGGTGAAGGCCCTGACTGTCCCCCCATTCCCTAAGGGGAGTGAGCAGGTGGAGGGGGAATCTAGCCACCCTGGGATCTCAGGCGTCTCTGAGCAAGGGAGCATCTGCAGGCCTGGGCGTTTTCCTCCAGTTCCCCACCTCTGGGTCCCACCCATACCTGTGCAGCGTCTTCCCTGGTTCATGACCATCAGCCGATTGATGGAATTGGAGTCTCCTTACATGAGCACAGAGATGCCAGGTAGGTAGCCCGAGGTCCCCTTTCCAGGGTGTCAGGGGCAGAAGCAGTGGGGCCATGCCAGGAAGCAGAGGCGGGGAAGAGTCATTTACTTATTTCCAGAGGCTGTGATGAATGAAACACCACCCCCATCACATACCACCGTGAGCCTTTGAATGAATTTTCTCATTTAATCCCAACCTCAGCCCTAAGAGAGGTCCTACTAATACAGGCTTCATTTCTAGATGGCAGTGCCAAGGCACAGAGAGATTATGGAGCTTACCC